ATACCTGCAGCACACACACATCACACACCAGCGCTCTCACACACACCCCGGATCTCTTTCTCCCTCTCTGGCACACACACACACACACACACACACACACACACACATACCTGCAGCACACACACACACGCGCACACACACACACACGCACACACACACCATGCAGCTCACACTCTACATACACGCAGTGCCCAGTCACACACTTGCCCAGAATTCCTGCTACACTTGTCTGGGGGCAGTACACACCCAAGCATGGTGCAGCCTGCATGGCGAGTGTGCAAGGAGCACACCCATCATGTTCATGTGCAACACACCCAGCGAGGCCCCCTGCAGGCAGCTCACAAATTCCCCACCAAGAGCATCATTTGCCTATAACAAGGGACGCTCCAGCCGCCAGAGGCTCTGCCTGCCCACCGTGCCTGTGCCTCACAGGCCCCTCGATCAGCAGCACTCGGTGCTGCCAGGGCCTTGGGCTGCAGGCTCCTGGGTCGGGGGGACTGAGGCCAGAGTCTGGCCCCAATCGCATCGCCCCCTTTGCTATTCCCATTGCCCTGTGAGAGCCGGAGAAAAACCCTCCTCCAGCCCCCATCCTTCCTGAAACCCAAAGGGCCCTTCCAGTCCCCTCCACCTCCCACAGGCCCACGCAGCTGCTCCCTGAAGCCCCACCACAAAGGGCTCTTGTGTTTCCAGAGATGCATGGCTGGGATGTCTCGGCAGCAGCTGCTCTAGATTCTGCCACTCGCAGGCAGAGTGGGAGGAAGGGCTTCGTCCAGCCGTCTCCTGCCTGGATGGGGGTCAGGGGCTGAGATGGATGCTGACACCGAGGAAAGGCTGGGGGCGGCAGGTGGCACAGGCACCGGCTTCCCCCGAATCCCCACCCCCCCAACCCCACCCTGCTCCACATCTTCCCACCCCCAGGCCCTGCCCCCGCCCCACCCCTTCCCCCAGACCTCTGCCCCGCCTCTTCCCACCCCCACCCTGCCTCCTCCCGCCCACTTCCGACCCCTCCCCAAAGCAGACCCCGTCCCTGCTCCTCCCCACCCAGCGCCTCCTGCACGCCACGAAACAGCTGATCGCAGTGGGTGGGAGGCACGGGGGGGGAGGGGATCTTGGCTGCCAGTGGGTGCTATTTTTTTCCATGGGTGCTCTATGGCAGGTGGCGGGGGGAGGAGGGACTCTCTGGGGTGGGGTAATGGGGTCTGTGATGGATGACCGGGGCTGATGGGTGTCTCGTGGTGCACGGTGTGTGGGAGTGCACGTGTGACTGTGGCCGTTGGTGCACAGGTCTGTCATGTTCTCGTCTAGCAGATATGGTCTGGCTACGGCGCTTGCTTACACACCCCAGGCGTGTCCCTCATAAGATCCTTTCATGCTCTGCCAGGTATGACCGAGGTGCATTTAAAATAAAATCTTTGACCAACGGCGCCACCTAGTGGCTGGACACTGTTATAGTTTAGCATTCCATGACATCTCCCCCTTTAAGTGCTACATTCCTGCCGTTCCCAATATTTACACTATCCGCCTGTCTTTGCAGTTCAGCGTGTATCTGGCTGTTCTGTGTCTCTGAATCGCACTGGTTTTCTAATGCCACGACCCGAGCGCGTAACCACTGGGCCGTCTGGCTGTGCACCGACTCACCGTGGTCGGTCTGGAATCCTTGAGTTCTCCCTGTTCTGAGTTGACTGGTCTTTCTGGGGGACAAACTGTAGATGTCATCGGCGTCTGTTAAACTCTCCATTGTTTGTCTCGATTGCATAGGAGCTGGGCACTGCCTTCTTCTTCTTCACAACAACTGGAGTTGTTCAGCCTTTTCCCCCATCCAATTAGCTAGGCACATGGCCACTAGGTTCTAGACCCAGCGGGTCTCTAACTGGCAGATGTCTGTTGTAAGAGTGTTCATAAGCTCTTTTAACCTTTTTATTCAATTTGGCCACCGTCTTCATGTCTAGCCACTTCGGAGATAGAGCCAGTAGCTGCTATTGGTGTGGATCTGTAACTCAGAGGAGCAAGGAATGGATCTTCCTGCCAGGCTCCTTTTCAATCAGTGCATGTTGTTTTTCTGCTTCTGTGAGTGTGCGAGAACAAAATGCAACTGGCTTCCACTCAGAGCTCTGTTGTTGCAACAATGCACCACCCAGCTGTTTGCATCTGCACTGACCATTGTGGGTTAGTTCACATCATAGTACTGAAGATCTGGAGCTGTTGAGTCCATTTCTTTTACCTTTTTGGAAGCAATTTCTTGATTTGGCCCCCATAGCCAAGATGGGTTGGACTTCAACAGTTCATTCAGTGGTTCTGTCACTGTAGAAAGGTCTTGTAGGTATCGACCCAAGGTAATTTACCATCCCCAGTATACATCTCAGTTCTGGTACATTTGCTGGTGGATTCAGTTCTCAAATTGCTTTTACTTTCCCAGGGCTAGGAATGGTTCTTGACTTAGTGTCTGTCCCAAAATCTTGATTTGGAATAGGTGGAAAATGCATTTTTCCTTGTTTAGCTTCAGCCCAGACTGACTGATTAGGCTTAGCATTTCGTTGGGGGTTTTGGTGTATTCTTCCATCGAAGATCCATCCGTCAGAATATCATCCATGAAAACAGCTCCATTTATGTTCAGTAACAGTTCTGCCATCTTTCTCTGGAAAGTCTCAGGGACACTGGTAATCCCCAAAAGTAATCTGCTAAATCTCCCGAAGGGTGTGATAAATGTAGTCCGTTTAGCACTTTATTTGGCTAAAGGAATTTGCCAGAATCCACTTGAGGCATCCAGCTTGGAGAACACTGTAGCTGCATTCCCTTTGGGGAGGAAGTCGTCCCATGTTATCTCCCACAGCTGCTTCATTAAGTCCTTTAAGATCCACATAGGAAGCCTGCAAGGTGTACGCACAGTGTCTCTAGGGTTATTTGTGTTGGATCACCTTCCAAAACGCCAATATCAAAAAATATTCTAACACGTTCCTCCCCCTTTCTCAGCGGGCCCTTTCTGGCTGCCACGCAGCGGCTAAGAAGGCTGGAGGTCTGTGGGCCTTTGATCACATACACTCTGAACACATAGCTTTTGTCATTGTACATTGATTCGGTGAACTGGGCTATGCAGTTCAGAATCCCTCCAGGGCTCGTCAGATGACTGTCAGGTGACTGCTGCTTTAGAAGGGGATTGTAAATCCCTTCTGAGAGGACTGTGACATCAGCTTCTTTAGCCAATTTTAAAGTCAATTGTCTTGCCATGAATATTCAGCTGCCCTCTCCAGGCAGGCTCTATGGCATCACAATGGCAGAATCCCAGAAACAATGGCGCTTGATTGCCTGTGATCCGAGTCAGCTCCCTGAATGCTTTGGTGCTGCAAACAGCTGCAAACTGTCCATATTTGGTGCATGTATTACAGCACGGATCTCTGGCTAGACTTTTTCCACACCTTGCGCATGTGGGCTGGAATTGGTTCCTCTTAGCCTGGGAGTGTACTGGAGTGCTAAACCGTATTATACTGTTCAGCAGGCGGCACTTATCTAAGTTCACCTCAGCTGTACCTGGCAGAGCATGAAAGGGTCTTAGGATGAACATGTGGGGGGTGTACAGTATATGCAAGCTCTGTGACCAGCCCATCTCTGTTACCGACGGACATGCCAGGGAGGGTCTCTCCTTGCCGCAGGGGTCGTGTGGCAATGCCTGTTAGCGCTCATGCTGCAGCTGTTAACAGCGTCTAAGCTAGTTTCTTGTTTCGCACATTGCTGTTGGGTTTCCTGTCTCACGCTGAGGGGCCTTTGCTCTCGGTGGCTAAGGTTAAATCGCTCTTCAGTTGTACCTGCTGCAAAAGGTTTTTAATCTCTTAACCAGCCTGTTTTGGCTATTTTCATGTTTTGCATTTCCCAAATCACAGGTTTCAGATCATGTATGCAGAGCTCTTAGAAACCAGATAACATTTTCTCCTGGTCCTTGAGTTCTCTGGGGAAAATGTGCTCTTTCGTAACGCCCATTTCTCTGAGGTATACAGTGTGCGTCTAACATAGCCAGACCCCTTTCCTTGTCATCTTAGTGACTATCTTCCAATAAAGGCAAAGGATTTAAAGCTATGCTCTGCCTGCTTCCCCAGAGCATAAATAGAAGATACCCGGATAGCTTCAGTTTCTTTGTGGGGCTTGCTTGTAATGTGAAGTCTTGTTTCCAGTCTGAAGGTTTGTCAAAGCTGAAGGTCTCTGGGACTTCGTGGTATGCATATGAGACCCTGCAACCTTTCTTGCTTTGTTCCTTTTGTTTGCAACCTTGGTTGCTGTTTTCTTTCTGTTCTTAATTTACTTCTGACACCATGTCATGTATTTCTGTACCAGATATGGACTGGCTACAGAGCTTGCTTATGCACACCAGATGTGTTCGTCACACGATCCTTTGATGCCCTGACAGGTGTGGCTAAGGTTAGCTTAAAATAAGATATTTTCACACAGTTCCAGCACCTAGTCGCAGAGCAGTATCATGCAGATCAGCATTGCGTTACAGTACTGCGGCTCTTTGCATGCACAGCCTGTAGGAATGTGGTGCGCCCCTTGCAGGAAAATTCCACAATCGGAGCCTAAAAAAAGCCAGGGGCTCTTGTGCTGGGGTGTCCCTATGGGTGTCTCTCAAGGATTCTGACATCCAGCCTGCTGCGTTCTCAGCCGGCGGTGTTGTCGCCTCCATCAGCCCTTACCTGTCCAAAACAGCGCAGTCCCGTGGAGCGGGAGAGAGGGGTCAGCCTCTGCAGAGAGGAAACCCTGGGCGAGGGGAATCCCCCAGGAGGAGCGGGGCATTGCCTGTCACAGGCACTAAATGGGCACAAGGGAAGAGCCCCCACCACTAGCGCTGGGCGGGGAGCAGGGCTGAGTGCGAGGGTGGGATTGCCTCACATCCCCATGCTCTGGAGCCATGGGCCCCCTTCACTGCTGGCAGCACAGCCTGAGTGGGGAGGAGACCAGCCTCGCCTCAGAGCGTCCCCGCCGCACCCAGCCTGCAGAGCTGGCATTGACTCCGCTCTGCGCCCCAAATACCCAGGTGGGGCAATGACCGACTGCCACTCCCACCGCTTCCTGCCCAGTGCGTGCCCAGGTGGGGCGGGGGAGCCAGCAAGCGGCAGCCGGGGTGACCGGTGGGATGGCCTGACCGCAGCCTCTGTCCCAACAGGGCATCAACCTCTCCCAGGGGGATGCTGGCCTCCCCGCCAGCCCCCTGGTCCTGTATCCGTGGCGACAGCGAGCTGGGCCCAGCAGGGTGAAGAGGGCCTGGGTGATCCCGCCCATCAGCGTGTCCGAGAACCACAAGCGCATCCCCCACCTCCTGGTGCAGGTATGTGCTGCCCGGCCTGGCCTGAGCAGCCCAGGGCAGGTGCTGCAATGGCCCAGGGCCCCAGAGCTCCAGAGCTGGGCTGCGTACGGTGCGGGCCAGGTTGCCCCCTGCTCGGCCTGGCAAGGGCAGCTCTGGGGCATCAGGCATGGGGAGGACAGAGGCCATGGCAAGGGCAGAAAAATGTAGAGGGGGCTTCTCCTCACCTCAGGGGTCACCCAGCATCCAGGCTATAGAGGCAGGGATGTAGGTTGGCCCTCACTCCCAGGCGGCGCCCCTGCAAATTGTGTCAGACACACACCCAGCCCTCCCATCATGTACACACACATCTACAACTGCACACACACACCCCACCACCATTCACATGCAGCCACCATCCACCATCACACACACACACATCCACCCCGATCCATCACACACGCATCCACCCCGATCCATCACACACACACACACACACACACATCCCCCATTCACACACATCCACCATCACACGCATCCACACCCATCCACCAACACACACACACATCCCCCATTCACACGCAGCCATCATCCACTATCACACACACACACATCCACCATCACACACACACGCATCCACCCCGATCCACCATCACACACACTCATCCACTAGTCACATCCACCATCACATATGGACAATCATTGCACGTACACACATATCCACCATTGCACGCACACACACCCATTCACCATCTCACACACACCCATCCACCTTTGCACAGGCACACATCCACTCTCTCCCACACTTCCACTACCACACACACATGCACCATCGCAGGCGCACACACCCATTCTCCATAGCACATACACACACACAAACACACCCATTCCCACTCTCTCCCCGACTTACACACACACACACTGAGTCACACCCTCGTCCAGCCTGAGCCTGCCTTCCGATGATGTGCTGGGCATCCCTGGCTGCTAGTAATGCCTTGCGGGTGGGTGGCTCAGGGGCCGATCCAGGCAGCCGCCCACCCCTAGACCTCTTGCTCCCAGGATGGCTGGGCCTGCACTCGTCCCAGAGGGCCAGGCTGGGGATGGGTGCGGGGCGAGAGGTTGCCAGCCCTGTGGGTTTATTTTCACACGTCCCTCTGGCAGATCAAGTCGGATAAGCAGCTGCCTGGGGGCGTCATCTACAGCATCAAGGGGCCGGGCGTGGACGAGCAGCCCCTGGGCATCTTCTCCATTGACAAGTTGAGCGGGAAGGTCTTCCTCAACACCATGCTGGACCGGGAGAAGAACGACCGCTTCCGGGTAAGGGCCCCTCCCCGCATGCAGCTCAGCCTCCTCTGCTTTTGCTGCTGTGTGACACACACACACACACACACAGCTGGGGCGGGGGGCATGTTCTGGCCTGGGGAGGAACACAGTGCCTCCTGCTGGGAGCCTGGCGTGGGATAGGGGTGAGCTCTCCGGAGCCAGCATGGCCAGTCATACCCTACAGTGTCTCCTGCTGGCAGCGGCTGGGACTGGCACAGCCCTGGAGCCAGTTAGTCGGCAGTGAAGTGTGCTATTGTCTGGTGGCTGGTAAGGAGCCGGGAGCTGTGGCTGATGCCTGTTCTCTGCCCTGTGCCCAGTTGAGGGCCTTTGCCCTGGACCTGGGGGGCGCGACCCTGGAAGACCCCACTGACCTGGAGATTGTTGTGGTGGACCAGAACGACAACCGGCCCCTGTTCCAGCAGGAGGTTTTCACGGGGCACGTGGTGGAGGGAGCCGTCCCAGGTGGGTGTCTTTGGTGTGAGCCTGCGAGGGCCTGGCATTCACCGGTCCAGCACAAATCTAACACCAAAGTATGAGCACATAGCTAAGGAGGAGCACAAAGGAACAGCACCAGCATGTAGGGAGATTGGAAAACAGAATCCTAACTATACATAAAAACTGATGGGATCTAAAGTAGCTGTCACCACCCAAGAAAGAGATCTTGGCGTCACTGTGGATAGTTCTCTGAAAACATCCGCTCAATGTGCAGCGGCAGTCACAAAAGTGAACAATGGTGGGAATCATTCAGAAAGGGATAGATGATAAGACAGAAAATAACATATTGCCTCTATATATATCCATGGTATGACCACATCTTGAATACTGTGTGCAGATGTGGTCGCCCCATCTCAACAAAGATCTATTGGAATTGGAAAAGGTTCAGAAAAGGGCAACAAAAATGATTAGGCGTATGGAACAGCTGCTGTATGAGGAGAGCTTCAGACTGGGACTGTTCAGCTTGGAAAAGAGACATCTAAGGGGGATATGACAGAGGTCTATAAAATGATGACTGGTGTGGAGACAGTAAATAAGGAAGAGTTATTTACTCCTCATAATACAAGAACTAGGGGTCACCACATGAAATGAACAGGCAGCAGGTTTAAAACAAACAAAAGGAAGTATTTTTTCACACAATGCACCGTCAATCTGTGGAACTCCTTGCCAGAGGATGTTGTGAAGGCCAAGACTATAACAGGATTCAAAAAAGAACTAGATACATTCATGGAGGACAGGTCCATCAATGGCTATTAGCTAGGATGGGCATGGATGGTATCCCTAGCCTCTGTTTGCCAGAAGCTGGGAATGGGCGACAGGAGATGGATCACTTACTGATTCCCTGTTCTGTTCATTCCCTCTGGGGCACCTGGCATTGACCACTGTTGGAAGACAGGATACTGGGCTAGATGGACCTTTGAGCTGATCCAGTTTGGCTGTTCTTATGTTCTTATGTAGGGACAACATGAGAAAGGCTAAGGCACAAAATGAGTTACACCTAGCAAGGGACATAAAAGGCAGTAAGAGGAAGTTCTTTAAAAACATTGGGAGCAAGAAAAAGCTGAAGTTACATGTAGGGCCTCCACTTAGTGGGGAAGGAGCACGAACAACTGATGACATCGAAATGGCTGAGATGTTTAATGCCTATGTTGCTTCAATCTTCACTGAGAAAAGCTAATGGTGACCAGATACTCAACATCATTAATATTGACAACAAGGGGGGAAGGATCACAAGCCAGAAGAGGGAAAGAACAGGTTAAGAATATTTAGTTAAGTAAGATAAGAATATGTATAGTTGGGATTTGGTTTTCCAGCGGGCATCACTTTACATTTATCAACACTGAATTTCATCTGCCATTTTTGTTGCCCAGGCAAGGTGTGGGCTTAGGTGAAATTACTATAAGGTGGGTGCCTGAGTGGCTGAAAGACCTCACTCAAAGCATAGTTATCAATGGTTCACTGTCAAACAGGGGGGATGTATCTAATGGAGTCCTACATGGGTCTGTCCTGTGTCCAGTACTATGCAATAGTTTCTTTGATGACTTGGATAATGGGTGGAATAGGCTTGTAAAACTTGCAGATGACCCCAAGCTGGGAGGTGTTTCAAGCCCTTTGGCAGACAGCATTAAAATCAACAAGATGAAATTCAATATAGACAAGTGCAAAGTACTACATGTAGAAAGGAAACAATCAAATGCACAACTACAAACTGGGGAATATCTGGCCAGGTGGTCGTGCTGCTGAAAGGCTCTGGGGTTGAGGGTGAATATGAGTCCACAATGTGATAGAGCTGTGGAAAAGGCTAATGTCATGCTGGTGTGTATTAGCAGGAGTGTTGTATGTAAGATATGGGAGGTACCTGTCCCCCTCAGCTGGAGAACTGTGTCCAATTCTGGGTGTTGCACTTTAGGAAAGATGTGCACAAATTGGAGAGAGTCCAGAGAAGAGCAACAAAAATGATCAAAGGTTCAGAAAAACCCGACCTAGGAGGAAAGGTTAAAAAAACTGGGTATGTTTAGTCTTAAGAAAAGGAGACTGAGGGAGGACCTGGTAACAGTCTCCAAATACGTTACGGCTGTTCTAAAGAGGACGGGGACCAATTGTTCTCCATGTCCACTGAAGGTAGGAGAAGTGATGGGATAATCTGCAGCAAGGAAGATTTAGGTGAGATATTAGGAGAAACTTTCTAACTCTCAGGGTAGTTAGGCTCTGGAATTGCCTTCCAAGAAGGTTGTAGAATCCCTGTCATTGGAGGTTTTTAAGAACAGGTGGGACAACCTGTCCAGGATGGTCTAGGTTTACTTGGCCCTGCCACAGCGCCGGGGGCTGAACTTGATGACCTCTCCAAGTCCCATCCAGCCCGACATTTCTATGATTCTACACCCACTGTGTATTTCTGATCGCAGGCACCTATGTGCTGAAGGCAGAAGCCACAGACGCTGACGACCCCGACACGGACAACGCGGCCCTGCGATACTCCATCCTGGAGCAGGGCTCCGCCGGGCTCTTCAGCATCAATGAGACCACAGGCGAGATCCGCACCGTGCAAGTGGGGCTGGACCGCGAGGTAACGGGCCTTGGGGCAGCCGGCGCTGTGGGCTGGGAGTCCCTGCAGGCACACGGCAGGCTGGGGGCCTGCCCGACTGCACTCGATCAGTGGTATACTGCGTGGCAACCAAGACCAGTGTGCTCTGGCTACCTGTGGGCAGCCCCTGGGCAAGACTAGCAGAGCCCTGTGCACCAGGGCACAGATGTGAGCTAACTCAGGCCAATGAGGGGTGGGTTGGGCAGGCCCTGGCCGGGTAACGCCGGGCATTGCCCCCTCCAGGGGTCCAGGGCACTGTGGGGATGGGCTGGTGCTGGGCCTGACAAACAGGTAAGTAGCTGGCTCCCTCCTCCCCAGGTGGTGAGTGTGTATAACCTGACTCTCCAAGTGGCCGACATGTCGGGCGACGGCCTCGCCACCACAGCCACCGCCGTGATCTACGTGGACGACATCAACGACAACCCGCCCGAGTTCACCAAGCCGGAGGTAGGGAGCCAGGGCAGCGGCTGGGGGCCCGGGGTGCAGGATGCCTGGGGGGGACAGTCTGACTCACTGCATGGCCGCGGGGTGGGTTCCTGCCCTCTGTGGGCTCCATGCCGGGGGACAAGGATCCTGGCCCACACTGGGGGAGATGTGAACGTGGGCTGAGCCATCGTGCCAGGCCGTGAGTTCCCCGGCTGCTCTCTTGCAGTTCTCTGTGGAGGTGCTGGAGAACACGAGTGGCGTGGACATCGGCCGGCTCCTGGTGCACGACAAGGACCTGCCCGGCTCCCCCAACTGGCTGGCGCGATTCACCATCCTGGAGGGTGACCCGGACGGGGCCTTCGCCATCCGCACCGACCCCCGCACCAACGACGGCGTCCTCTCCGTGGTGAAGGTGAGGGGGCAGCGCCCTGGGCCACAGCCTGTCCCTGCTCCCAGCCCCAGGGGGCTTGGCCAGCACCCATGCCCCAGCCAGGCCCCTGCTCCCTCCAGCCCAGGCCCAGCTGGAGATGAGTCGCTCAGTGCAGGGGCCATGCTCTGCTCCTCGTTACCAACGGCCCCAGGGAGCAGCCAGGCCATGTCCCAGCCCTGAACCCTGGCTGGAGCGCAACCCCTGGGGGGGTGAGAAGCCCATGTGCAGAGCAATCCCTTGGGGGGGGAGCCCCGCTGGAGAGTGGCCCCTGGGCGTGGGGGTGGGGAGTCCCACTCGAGAGCGTCCCCTGGGCGTGGGGAGCCCCACTGGAGAGCGGCCCCTGGGCGTGGGGAGCCCATGTGCAGAGCGACCCCTCGGGGTGGGGACCCCCACTCGAGAGCGACCCCTGGGGGTGGGGGTGGGGAGCCCATGTGCAGAGCGGCCCCTGGGCGTGGGGGTGGGGAGCCCCGCTGGAGAGCGGCCCCTGGGCGTGGAGAGCCCATGTGCAGAGCGACCCCTGGGGTGGCTGGCCTGGGGTTAGCTCTTTTCCCCGTGACTAACTCTCGGCCCCTCCACGTTCAGGCCCTGGACCACGAGGGGCGGGACCACTTCGCGCTCACCGTCTCCGTCCAGAACCAGAACCAGCTGCACCCGTCGGCCCCCCAGACCACGCGGGCCCTGGCCATGGTGCAGGTGCAGGTTCAGGACGTGAACGAGGCACCCTTCTTCCCCAAGAACCCCCGGCTGGCCAGAGTGGCGGAGGGGGCGCCGCCCGGCACCGAGCTCATCACTTTCAGCGCCAGCGACCCCGACACCCGCCAGCCTCAGGCTCTCAGGTGAGCCCACCCCCAGGGGGCCCTGACCAGGGGCCAGTGCCACCTGCATCCCCAGGAGCCCTGGCAGAGCCCCCAGGAGCAGCCTGGACGCAGTGCCAGGGGCTGGGGAACAGGGGGTGGGAGCTGCACTGGCCAGCGCGGGGCCCCATGGGGGGGTACGAGGATGGGGAACTTGACCCTTGGTGCCTGCCGAGTGGCAGCGCCAGCCCGGCTGCAGGGGCTGCTGAGGTGGGGGTGGCGCTCTGGCCTGCAGGAGCCCTGGGTGGGGAAGCGCCCATCAGACAGGTTGGCAGGGGCTGGGCGCTCAGGCTCAGCGCTCTGCCACGCAGGCTTCAACTCCTCTTGCTTGGTGCTGGCTCTGGGTGGGGTGTTACCCGCCCACGCTAGGGCACCTCCACCTTTACTCAATTGCTAGGGCTCAGGGCATCATCTCCTGCAGGCTTGTGGGGCCGTGTACCCATGAACGAGCCTTACACAGTGATATCCTTCACTGCTGGGTGGTAACAGTTACCAGACAGAACCCACACGCCAAGCAGGCAGTGCACCACGCCCATAAGGCAAGTGAACTGTTCCTGGTGACCCACCAGGATCAGGTCGCCCGGGGTTCCTCCAGCGTCTGCACGATATAATTGGCAGCGCGTTGAGGTCTGGCAGCTCCCATCTTGGGCTGTGTCTGGAGTTGGTGCCAAAGATCTTCCTTTTGGACCCCACTTTATATAGTTAAGCTTGAGGCCTGCTTAGCGCTACCTTAGCCAATCATTTTAAACTAAAGTATTACACAATAATCCTTTGACCAAGCCTAACGTATTGCAGCCCAACGCTTTACCCAGTAACACCCACCACCTTGCACAAATTAGTTCTGCAATAGACGGACAATTAAAGAACCAGACGGAAACCATCTAGATAAACAATAGAGAAGATACCATAAAGGCAAAACAATGAAGTGTAGATTTCACATTCCCCGTTGCTAAGTGGTTCCTGGCAGACAGGACGCTGTCGCTAGACAGCTTACGAGCTGTGTCTTTACCTGGTGGTGGTGGGTACTGTTAGGACAGAGGTGCCGCCTTAGCCCGCTGTGACACTGCTTTACTATCATTTAGAGGGGATGTGACTTTTTGCTTCTCCCCCTCCCCGCCTCCAGCTGCTCATGCCAGGGCAGGGCTCCCGGGATGCCCCCAGAGAGGTTTGGGTTGGTTGCCTAGGCAAATAACTTGGCATCTCTGCCTGCAGTTACTCCCTGGCCTACGACCCGGCCGACTGGCTGCTGCTGGACCCGCGCTCCGGGATGGTGCAGACCAAGCGGGAGCTGCCACGCCGCTCGCCCTTCCTGCAGGGCAGCTGGTACACCGCTGTCATCCTGGCCAGCGATAAGGGTGAGCTGGGGGGCGCTGGCTGAGCCCTGCCGGTGAGTGCTGGGCCCTGACCTGTCTGCCCTTGTCCCCAGCTGACCCGCCGAGCACGGCCACTGGCACCTTGTCCATCGAGATCGTGGAGGTGAACGACCACGGGCCGGCCCTGCTGCCGCTGGCGGGCGTCATGTGCAGCGAGCCCAGCAAGGGGCGGGGGCTGCTGCTGAGTGCCATGGACGAGGACCTGCCACCCCACGCCGAGCCCTTCCACTTCCGCCTCAGCCCCGACGCCCCCCAGCTCGCCCACAACTGGAGCCTCAGTCAGCTCAACGGTGAGGGCGGGGGCCGGAGTGAGCGAGCGCCAGCTGCGATCGCCTCGCCCATGGACGGGAGGCGACAGCCTGAGTCCCGCTCCCCACGGCCCTGCAACAGTGAGGGCAGGGCCGCCCCAGCCCGCCTGAGGGGGAGAGACTTGATCGGCCGGGTGGGTGGAGCCTAGTGGGGGGGGGGGCAAGAGGCTGATCAGTGAGGGGAGAGCGGGGGGGCTGATCGGTGAGAGGGGAGCAGGGCCCGCTCGGTGGGATAGTGGCGGGGAGCAGGCCCCCATTGGTGAGGGGAGAGCGGGGGGCCTGATCGGTGCAGGGGGAGCAGGAGGGACTGATTGGTGAGGGGGGAGCAGGGGGCGCTGATGGGTGCGGGGGGAGCAGGAGGGACTGATTGGTGCGGGGGGAGCAGGGCCCGATCGGTGGGGGGCAGAACTCGGGGCCGTAGGGGCTGGGCGGGTGCAGGCACGCGGGGTATCATGGTGTCCCTGTCTCCGCCCAGCGACCCACGCGGTGCTGGCAGTGTTGGTGCCGGTGCCCGCGGGGCTGCACTCCCTGCCGCTCCTGCTCAGCGACTCCGGGACGCCCCGGCAGGAGCGGGCGCAGCTGCTGAACGTCTCTGTGTGCCCCTGCAACGAGGGGGGCAGCTGCCAGGCCAGCGCGGCGGCTGCCTCCACGGCCGGGGCGGGGCTCAGCTTCGGGGCCCTGATGATCATCCTCAGCAGCGTCATCCTGCTCCTGTGTAAGTGAGACAACGACCCCCCCCCCGCCCCCGCTGACCCCCGCCCCAGCCCGGCCCGGCCCAGTCCCACCGCCTCTCTCTGTCTCGGCAGCGCTGGCCCTGCTGGCAGCCGTCCGGGAGCGCTGCCACCGGCGCCCGCGGCACGAGGGGCTGCTGGGGAGCTCGCAGGACGACCTGCGCGACAACATCCTCAACTACGACGAGCAGGGCGGGGGCGAGGAGGACCAGGTGAGGGGGGGGGCGGCCCCCTCACAGGCGCTACGGGGCATGGGCCTGCTCCAGGCAAACCAGCCACACACTTCGCTGCTACCCCAGCCCTGCCCCTGGGTCCCGCCCCACAGCCCCCTGCTAGCCCTGCCCTGCCCCTGGGTCCCGCCCCACAGCCCCCTGCCAGCCCAGCCTGCCCCTGGGTCCCGCCCCACAGCCCCCTGCTAGCCCAGCCCTGCCCCTGGGTCCCG